TAATTATATGAATAAATAATATATATTTACTATTCAGGAAGAAGTTTTTAAGTTTCAATAAATTTACTCTATGATCTTTATCTGCTATAGTTAGTTGAACATCCAAATTTTATAAAGGCTTTTGTCAAAGAATACTTACAATTTTATTTCGGTATTATATGTATAAACAAAATATGTATGATATTTCTGCATATAGTTTATAGGAAAATACTTACACCTTAGACATTTTTAAATTACAATAATCGTTCTCAGTATTACCTCTAAGTATTACCTCTAAGTATATCCTCCAAGTATTTCTTCCAAGTCTCTAATTAAAGCATTTCCCTTCCGTCGTTCCCTAAATGCTTAGTTAAACGATCATTAAATATTTACTCCACTTCACTGCACTGCACGAGTGACCCCCACTAGGCCTGGGCGACTGAGGAAATGCTGCAGCTGCTACCCATTATATAGAGCGACTTTCACTCAAACACTAAGTCGCGCTCGAATGTTGAGCCCGACGCCAGGTAGAGGCCGTTGCAATCAAGCTTTAAGTGACCAATGAGAGCACGCTCTGCTGCTGCCGTTGTTAAGCAGACAGACAGAGAGACATACTGTGAGATTGACAGAGATACCTACAGAGAGACAGCATCCACAATGCTCACACTCGTGCAAGACACGATCTAAAGAATGTTATCGTTCTCCAAGCGATAATTGAGTAACATTGCGTTTATTAACAGAGTCTGCAGTCAGTAGCCAATAGCCCTGCACACTCATAAATGGATCAAACCAAATGACCAATGCCGTGTCAGCAGCTAAATGAGTGAGTGAGCTATCTAAGTCCACTCTTTGATCGCTCTCTCATATTGTAGCTGCTATTTATACGAAAATCACTCGTCAGACACACATACACTCACGCGTTTTCTTTATTCATTTAATGCGTGCTTTTTAATAAGTATATCTAAATCTACTAATGCTTTTAAGTATTGCATAAATAGTTTAGCTAATATAAGCTTCAATTTAATTTCATTATACGCACACTTGTATATTTTTATCGCATTTGCTTTATCTCTTAATCCAGATAAGTTTTGCACACACACGCACATTGAATTAAAATCCACCCGACGACAGATTTCTTGGCACTCCCTTGGAGCCACAGCTCGACTGTCGTTAGCTTGACTTCCACACACACACATACACATGTTCCACAGCTAGCATCCACTTGTTGAGCACACTGCCAATTCGCCACGTGCCAACGCGGATGTTGGTGAGTCTGTTGGCAAGGCTCGACTCGAAGCATTTTTTTTTTGGCAAGCTAATCCGCTGCTAAGCACACGGTAGATAATCAAGAACACGTAACGATAGTATTACGTGTGTCCTGTCTATGTTACGGAAATGTTTCTTTTAAATTGGCAGCCATTATGGTGAGATATGATTATAAAATTTATATTGTGATATGAATAGTTATATAGAGTGAATGCATAAACTAGAGAAATGCGTGCAGTTATTAAAAAAAAACAAGTAAGAAGGCTCCAGTCGAGACTGCTCGACTAGGAGATACCCTGAACCCTCCAAGATGATATAATTATCAGTCTGGACTTCTTTTATGCACACATACATACACATGCACTTATAAGCACGCGCTCTGCTGACTGCGCAGTTAGCAGCGACTGCGCTTGGGCTGCGCTGCAATGTGGGCAATATTATGAGAATTTATTTGTTGAATAATTTCGTTTGTAGACATACGATCTTAATGAAACTTTCAGAGCGTAATCATATGGTTANTAAAATAATAATATTATTCATAAATAAATAAATTAATCTAAAAATTCAAAAATAAAAATAAAGCTAAATTAAGCTTAAGAGGCTTTTCCAAACACATTTCAATTATTATTAATTAAAGCATCGTTAATCGTACTTTTGTTACATTTCCACAAAGATATATACGTAATTAATATAATATTAATTGAATTATTTGAAGCTGTAAAGCCTTATTAACAATTTCCCAAATTTAATTAGCTTTAATCCCTATCTGTTTCATATATAATTTAATACCTTGCTGCATCTCAAGCTCCACAAATGGCTGTTGCTGCCGTTGGCTCTCATGGAATTCATGTATTTCCTGGGCATCACAATCAGTCACATTGTCTTCATGATTGTGCTGAAGAAGCAGATCAACCTGGGCCTACTCATTGTGCTCACCTTGGTGGGCAGTTTCTATTGTCGTGAGTTAAGCAGAATACTTATGTTAAACTGTGGAGTGAAACTCATCAATAATTGCCCTTGATTCAACAGTTTTTGCTGGCTATAATTGCGTGACGTGCATTGCCCTGTTCCAAATAATAAATCTGGTGCGAAGCAACAAATATCGTCAGCTCTACGGCGAGGATCCGTTTAATCCGCTGGTCATGAGGCGTTCACGCGGCGAGGTGCAGCAGCTGCGCGTGCTGGGCACACCCGAGGACATCGACATCGATGAGCAGAAGCGATTGGCCAAGCTGGGCCTCTGGCCGCGACGTCATCCGCAGGTAATTTCCGTCATTCCGATGCAGACGCCGGCCGTCAATCTGAAATGGTGGCAGCAGCAGGCCCTCGACAGGGATGAACAGCTCCACGATTCGGCTGTCTATCGAAACTGGCAGCGCGATGAGCTGCTGCGGGGCGTGGGCGGCGAGGTGGAGCGCAAAAATGAATTGAATCGACGCTACGCAGAGGTGCAACATTTCCAATGGCGCTAGCTGAGCCAAAGGTGATGGGATCCATTGAAAGTTATCTAAAATTGGGTTGGTTATGTGACTCCACTATATTTGCTTAAAAAGAGAGCTTTAAACTTTAACTTTGTGTATAATATTTAAATTTTATGTACATATAAATAAATTCAATAATAAA